AAAGAGAAGAGATCTAAGCTCTCTTCTAGTAGTTACTGTTGCTATTGAGATACTATTGAAAAAGTGGGTGGGCTCTGTTTCCATGCTATTTCTACTGGCATGAAATTCTAGTACAGAGGTACAGGTTCAATCCCTAATCGCGATCCCCAACAGAGCCCCCACGAGTTTTTGGAACACGACATGGACATAGCACATGTGGAGGTCCCAAAATATATGTTGTCTGTAATTCAGATTCTTGCCAAGAACCAGATCTATTCAGTCCCATATGACTATCGCGACGATACAAGTGTTTTCAACGGAATCAAGATGCTGCCTTACAGTCCCGCTGCGAAGTCGCTCCGTATTGCAAGAGCATACCAAGAGGGGTTTCGGACGGAGGAGTCAGCTCTATGTACTCTCCTTGGGTATAAGAAGCTCACCAACGATCAAGGCAGAAAAAACATTTTGAAACTTCGTAGCTGGTGCCTCCAGACAGCCCTCCACAAGGCAGTCGGGAAGGAGGCGCTTATCGAGGACTACCATGCTTTCGATCAAGCAGATTACGCCACAGTACCTTTGACACAGACTTGAAGGAGGTCAATGCGAGTCACATTGAGCTTACTCCAAACTTCTTAGCGGATATTCAGGTACTCAAAAGGCAAGTTAGTGTTCATAGAGATCCCTCTGGACCAAAACGGGATATTTGGGAGGCACCACAAAAATGATCGAGATTTGGATGGTCAGCTAACTTACACCAAATACGGCAATGCAGTTGTCGGTCCCATGTCACTCTCGCGTGAGGCCGGATACATCACCCATGTTGGAGGGGAACCGACACCTCCGAGTGATGATCATACTAGTACAAAAAGACGCTGCCTCTTTTGATCCCAGTGAGATGCTCGGGGAGTCTGGTCTTTTGCAAAGCAGTATGGCACGTACCTACCCCCACTTCCACTATGATTCCTTCTTCAATTCACAGGATAAGGACCTCCCCCAGAACATTGAACGATACCTCCGGCTCATCCACCCCCATGATTACACCAAACTGCAAGAAAAGGAACAGGGGGATGATGACGAGGAAGAAAAAGACAATGAGGATAAGGTAGAGGAGGTGGGAAAGAAGAAACTTCATGGTGAACTCCATTTCATCGTAATCAGATGAGCAGGACGACAGACTTTCTACTTTGTTGCCTTCCTTAGCCTCCAGTTTGTTATTGACGCTTCCGATAGAGACCCTGTTTGCTTTTGTGGCAGGAGGAGCATCAGTTTGTTTTCTGACCACTACCGTCTCAGATTGTTTTGGGAATATAGGACGGTACAGCTCTTCATCGCCCTCCTCATCGGAGGAGTCCAAGACAATTTCATATACTTGGTCCTCTCTCTGCATTCTCCCTCCTCCGTCATCTGATGCTGACTCATCGTCGCTGCTATCGTTGCTGCTGTCATCCCTGCACGATAGTTTCATATTACCATACAAGTCAACTTTCAACTCCTCCAGGTTCCCGTCAACCGTTTCATCTTCATCGCTTGATTCCATGTTAGCTTCATCGTCAAGCATCCTCTTCCCATACACATCTACTTTCAGTTCCGAGGTTGAAACAATGCAAACTGGGATGGGATCCTTGATGCGGTACCCTTTCATGAAAAGCATGCAGTGTTCCTTCTGAAGCATATTTTCCACAGCCTTCTTTGTGAAATTGATAGTTCTCTTGTCAGCTATCATGTGCTTGTGGCAGCTATCACGAATCTTCTGGTCCCAAGCAGTGGCAAGGCATGGTTTGAGGTGACAGATGTCACAGTGGCGAGCTATGATGCCATCATCCTCGTCCTCCTTGCTCTGTCCATAGCCCGGAGGCCTGTACACTATCTTGCCCTCACCAGGCTCGTACTCAGATGACTCTCTTGGGTATCCTTCTACTGTGAAGTTCAGCCTTAATTGTTTGCTCTCTGTTGCTCCGCTGCTAGACTCCTTCCTCTTCCCTTGTCTCATCTAAGAACCGCATTTTTAGGTAGCGCGAAAACGGGAGCACCCCTACCATTCCATTCCACGTGTTTGGCATATAAAATCGTGACGTCGCTGGTTAAAGCTTTGGTAGTAATTCAGCAGTTTCGGAAGGTGAGGTCATCCAACCGGATCCGACGAGCTCCTGATTTGTAAGGTAGCATGCATGATAACATACAGCCACGACCTTGCCAACCCAGTCGTGCCCTTTCGGTTACTTAGGTATGCGTATGTATTTAGGAGGCAAACTACATACAGAATGCACCAGGACGAGTTTACGGATTGCTAAGTACAATCTCATTTTATAAGATCGAGCCACTCCAGAGCCCAGAAACTGTCATTTTGGAACCTCAGAAGCCACATTTTTGACGGTGTCTAGTACATTCTATATGCTAAAAAGTAACGTCTGTAAGCTACCAGTTGATTTGTACCTATCTACAAATGGTTTGGTATCGTTGTGAGTACTGTGATGATTGGTTTAAGAACCAGAGAGCTCTATCAAGTCACATACAAGCCTATCAACCTTGTATTGAGGCACGGAACAGAGTGCTGGGCATTGACACTGGACTAACAAGAAGGAGTAGATCCAGGGCAAGGGCTGCAGATCTAGGTGCTACTGACACTGGGAGGCCCGCAAGGGCACCAACACCAACAACACAGGAAGAGGAAGAGGAAGAATCCAGTCAGGACATTCCACAAGAGATGCAAGAGGAAGATGATCCAATGGAATGGGACCCCTTGAATGTTGATCGTACTGGTTCTAAAGATGAGGATGAGGACGACGAAGATGAGGATGACGACGAGGATGATAGAAAACAGGCAGCGGATGCACAAATTGGCAACCAAAGTGACGGTATTAGGGAAGGCAGAGAAGAGGTAGATGCGGAGGACGAGGATCAGGAAGCCACAGACGAGGATTCGGATGAAACTGACAGTGATGAGGAATCCAGTAGCGAAGGATCCGTGGCCACAATCATACAAAACGACAACCAGGACAAGCAAACAAGGATCAAGAGACCTCCTGACAACAGAATTATCAAGCAATTCAGACAGTACTGTGAGAAGAGTCGGCGTAGCAACATCCCACTGAATGCAAAGCAGGCAAGGGGCGTCAGGCTGATGGATATCTTACGAAAGAACAAGACACCTCTGACTGCCTATGATGATATTCTTGGCTGGCACCTAGAGGAAACTGGTAAGCGAGTTGGAGATGAGCCAATCGGTGAGGTGCCAGACTACCTCAGCCGCAAAGCATTGATGAGCTTGCTCAAGAAACGGTACAACATGACCGACAAGTTTCCTTTCGAAAAGGAGATAACGCTTCCTCATTGTGGTGCAAAGATCAAGGTTGTGTGCCTGGAGGCTCACAATTGTGTGTGGCAGTTGCTTGCCGATCCACGTCTTACGGATGATGATTTCTGCTTCTTTGACAATGATCCGTTAGCTCCACCACCCAAAATGACAACCAAGTGGGGCAGTGAATACTGGTGAGGCATACAGAAATGCATACTTCGAATACGTCAAGAATCCAGAGAAACAGATGGGAATTGGCATCCAATGGTACATCGATGGAGCAGTGACTGGCCAGTTTAACAACCTATCCGTCACAGCATTGAAGATGACGTTGTCCTGTTTCACGCTTGATTATCGAAAGAAAGATCATGCCTGGGCAATTCTTGGGTTTGTGGTCAACTATTCTGCCGGCAAAACCAAAGGCAAGAAGATGTATGGAGACACACAGCATGACCAAGCAAAGGAGGACCTGATGAATTATGAGAGATTTGTCGCAAATCGGGAAGACAAAAAAGTTGACAAGGCACATAATTTTCATACGCACCTGGCGGCCATACTGCATTCTTACCTACCGTTGGATGCAAATGGCATGGTCTGGGATCTCCATTACCGAGGAAAGCTTTACCGAAACCTTGAGCTAGTCTTCTGGACTCTCATGGTAAGGGCCGACACGGATGAGGCAGAGAAGCATTGTGGGAAGTATAGTAGTCGGGCAGGGAATGTGAAGCATTTGTGCCGGTACTGTCACTGTCCCAATGAAGAAAACTGATGATCCACTTGCTGATTATGAGACCAAAACAGTGACAGAGATTAGCAACTTGATCAAGGACAATGACAATGACAATGACAATGACAAGACAATGAACAATGACAATGACAATGACAAGGACAAGGACAAGGACAAGGACAAGGACAAGGACAAGGACAAGGACAAGGACAAGGACAAGGACAAGGACAAGGACAAGGACAAGGACAAGGACAAGGACAAGGACAAGGACAAGGATAAGGAAGGTCTGCAAGACATCTCCCAGCAATTCATTGAAAATGCATGGTACGAGCTTCGGTTCCATCCAACTGATGATACCGGTATCCACGGTGCATGCCCATCTGAAATGCTCCATGCGATCCTCTTGGGTATCTTCCTGTATGTGAGAGCAGCATTCTTTGCCCAGATTGGCCCAAGCTCAATCGGAGCCAAAGAGATCGATGCTTTGGCTCAGCAAGATGGCGAACTCTTCAATAAGAATTCCGAACGAGATCTTCCTAACTGTAAGTTCTCCCATGGAATCAATCAAAAGAAGAAGCTGATGGCAGAGGAGTACCGTGGCGTTTTGCTACTGATTGCTACCGTATTGTGATCTACCAAGGGTTTACTATACGTCTGTACAATGGATTGTAAACATGTTACAATATTCCTGCCTTTTTATTATGCCTTCAGGGAGTATGGCGTGTGTCACGAAAGTATGGCATGTGTCAAGAACTATTGAAAAGTACACTATTACTATACGCATTTATTCAATGCATGTTTCGAAATTATGGCTTATATCTATGGGGGCGCTCTTACTAATGGCTGTGCAGGAAATGGATGTCCTATTCTTACTGGGTAATGCGAATCCTGCATGAGAACGCCATTGCACCCCTTAGCATAATTCGCTATATAAAGTACTGTACGAATCTACCTCTAGTGAATTCACGAATTTGTACTACTTCACTATACATATTCACTCTATGCAGGATTCGCGTTCCGTTTGGCGGTTCGATGCATGTTTCAAAGGTCACGCATACTAAAGCCCGTGCAGGATTCGCTTTACCGGTTACTTGAAAGATATAAGGTCACTAGTTCGAATCCTGCATGCCAAGCTTTTTGCATCCGTAGCATCTTTTACTACAAATTATACTGTATGAATCTACCTGGAGGTGCAGTCACGAATTCTCATAACGTGTCACTAGGCAAGCTAGGACATAAGTATTCGAGTCCTGCATATCAACGCGTTTACAAGTTATAATGCCAATCCTGCATAGAACGGTTCACTATATAAAGTACTGTACATATCTACCAGATCACGATTTGGCCAATGCTGCATAGGCCTGTGAAAAGGAATTCCGTACCGTTCATGCAAACCACTGTGCGAATCTATAGTAAAATAGTAGGATTGTGCTTTGTCTACACGACATGGTGCTTTTTTATGCAGGTTTCCACCGTTTTCTCTTTCTTTATCTCTAACCTTTTGCTTTCAATAAAATAAATATTTTACAAAATTCCATGATCGTCAGTGGCTCCCCCCAGGGTCGTAGACGAGAGAAAGGGAAACCAAAACCCGTTACACTCCACTGCTTACTTACTGGATACAGGAGCATATCCGGAACTTTGATTGCTCAAACTCATGCTAAGAAGTTACGCATGAAAGATCTTGGGGGCGTCAAAAACCATGTGGACTACCCCCGCAGGAGAACTAAACACCAGCACAAAGTGTAAATAAGGTGCTTTTATGATTCCTGAGTTCCATGACGATAGAATTATCGAATGGGATTTACATGTCACCAAGAGCTTGGGGCGAATGACATGATCATAGGCCGAGACATTCTCTCCGACCTAGGATTTAAGTTCGACTTCACTATCATGTCAGTGGAGTGGGACGGTATATTTATTCCTATGAAAGATAGCGATACAAATGAAGAAGAGAACTTCTTCATTCCTGATCCTACAGCTGTCGATGACAGTGTGTTGGGGATTCGCGATTAGGGATTCAACCCCTGTACCTCTGTACTAGAATTTCACAGTAGAAATACAGAGCCCACCCACTTTTTCAGTAGTATCTCAATAGCAACAGTAAACTAGAAGAGAGCTTAGAGCAACTAACATACTACTGAAAAAGGCTGCTATCACGAATAGCAGTGGTCTACTATCGAGTCGAAGTGAAGAGGAGCCTATCGAAGCAACGAAGAGTCAACGGTAGCAAGAAGAAGATCGTTAGAGACCAAGCCTGTCGAACGACAGCAACAACGCGATCGGCCGGAAGATCGCGACACGAGAAGAAGACCGTCGACGACGACGGCATCGGTACAAGACTGTCGAAGCAGTGAAGAAGCCGACAGCAACGCGACGACGCAACGAGAGCGACGCCGCAACGAGTGAAGGATCCGAGGACGGATTCGAAGAACAAGCTCGGACGACGGATCGTCGTGCCGAGAGGAGACTGCAGCCGCCGTCGACGACGATGCAGCAGAGTTTCATCGGCAGAATCCACAAGGATTGTCGATAGAAGAGCCGACAGCATCCAGCCGGAACTGTCAGAGCCAACAACAAAGCGCGAAAGCCATAGTGCCAGCGCAGGGGCCAAAGGAAAGGCACCCAACAAGGAATCAACAATACAAAG